TTTTATTACTTATTATTATGATTTTATTTATTTATGGCTAGAGTGGTGGCACAAGTGTCAAAATTACATTTGTTTCCTAAGATAGGTCTGCTTCAGGCTTCAGTTGAAATCTGTTAATTTGTTTAGTTTTGTTCTGATTTCATTTTTGCGAGTTACTTTCCTTGTATATAAAATAAGATAGATGTGTTTTGCTGAAACCCACATAATTGGTCATAAATATAGTAAAACATGGAGCGCGGCGATTTTGAACAAGCCCTGCTAGACATCTTGACAGGACTATCAGGCTAGTGAAGTCACAAGGGTAGATTAGGGAACGGAAGTTGAAATATTACGCACGGTGAGCCGCTTGGGTCTGAGTAGAGGAAAGACCTGTATGGTAAATAAAAATCATACCATGCATTCGACAATAGATTGTGTGATTTAACCCCATATGTTTTTTAAGTTTAGGATGTTCCAATAATTTTAATTATTTTAAAAAAAATATAAACAAAAAATATGAAAAAATATATAAAAAATTTATAAAAAAATAGAAAAAAATATAGAAAAAAAAATTCATTAGTTTACTACTGTTCGAAAAAACCTCGTTATGAATTATAATAAGTTTTAATTATATATAATAATCACTTTCGCCGGAAAAACTTTACGTTAAATTACAACTTATATTCACAAAATATTGGTCTCGCCCGTGCGACTAGTAGAGTAACGTTAGCATAATTTTCTCAGCATTACGTTCCCAGATTAGGTTCTATACATAAGAAAGAAGAAATCATGCAACAAATAATGCCTCTACAAAGAGAATAGTATTGAAATTTAACAATTAACAGCTGGTTTATGATTTCGTTCTAATATAAACACAACAAGTAAAATTGTTAATAAAAACTTTCATAACCAAAGTAACAAAACCAAAAAAAAATGCGAACATAAAAAGTCAAGTACGGGTTTGGGTCAGTTGGTTAAGGTGCGCTGATTCTGAGCTTCACATTTGGCAGGACCCAAGTTCGAATCCTGGTACTTGCAGTCTCAAAAATAATTATTTACAAATAATTAAATACAAGAATTATTTCCAAGACCACTGATGATAGGTACTTGGCAATACTCGAAACAGCTGTACGGTCAGCTAAAAATTCAATTAATTTAAATAATATAAAAGGATTTTTTGTTGTTGTAGTTCACTACTGTTCAAAAAACCTCTTTTAAAAAAAACATTAAAAAAACAAATATTAAAAAAAAATATTTAAAAAAAATATAAAAAAAAATGAAAATGAATAATTGGTCATGCCTGATAAAAAAGTATATAAGTAATAATTGAAATGTAGAGTTAGTTAGAAAAAGTGTTATTCGAAAAAGTAAAGTTATGGCTCTAAGGTACACTACTATAGAAGGCTCACACAAAGAAGTTACACAGGTAATATAAAGATTGGATGATAATTGGGTTAAATACTTTAATTACGAGACGATGGACAGTAGAAAAAAATGGAACGAATACTTTTTTTATTGTAGTCTGTAGAACCCCAACCCAAAACCGGCGACCATACCGACAGGCAGACATAACAAGCTACAAAAATTAAGCTTTAATTAATCGACATATGTGTGTGTGTTTCACATAAAATTTCATATATCAACAAATTTATTTCTTTTTTTACAAAGCAATGTCAAAATTCCAAATAATGCACTACAATAATAATAAAACTAAACCATTGTTAGCAAGGAATTGTTTTTTATAACGATTGTCACTTGCATTCCAAACAAAGGAATACGATGCAAAGATGAACTTCACTTTACTAATTTTATATAATTGTGTTATTTAATGAAACAGAACTCAATGGATTCTTGCTGAAAAGGTTTAACATTATCTGCTTAAATTACCTTGTGTTCACGAGATAACAGTGCAAGCTTATGTACAGAATATTGAACTCCTGCAGGTGTGCGAATGTCGACTACTCACACAAACCCTTCATTGCCTTGATACGTCTTTTTAATTCTACCAAGAGACCGCTGAAGTAATCGCAAATTGTCTTCTTTTAGTTAAATTATATTATTTTCCTTTATTTAATTAAATTTCTCCCCAAATTTATGTCATTCTTTATTTATGTAAACTCAAGGTACGATCTTCCATATATGAGAAAATGATCTCGTGTGAAATAATTCTAAATAATTTGGATTAGAAGACATTGGCGTTACAAATCTGGACTTAAGATTGGCTTTCGTTTATATGCTAGCTTCTAGCTCTTCATTCGTTAAGCTTTCCGTTGCGGTATTACGAATCATCAAACGCTTAGCTAAGCCCACCGAAGTGCACCAGCACATTGACCAGTGATGATACATTTTTTGGTTGTTTTTGAAATTTACATAATGAAATCATTCAGTACGGTCCACATGGTCTATCCGATACCGCACAAAATATGTGCAATTGAACAATTGATGAAATGTAATATTAAACTGTATTTTTTTGTGTGCAATGATTTGATATCTTTGATCCATTAGTCATATCCTTGATATATTTGGTCATAAGTCATGGACTTCTAAAAATAAATAAAAATAGTAAGAAAGCAAATTAAACATTTTGAATTGTTGAATCACTAAACAAAATTTTATGAAGCTAAAGTCCACTATTTGATTTGTATGATGCATTAAACACCACTCAAATTTTCGTGGTTACGGTGATGCATTGTATAGGCATTTACACATCTGGAATGTAACCGTGTCACGGTTCGCGGTAATAAGCTGTGTTAAGCTGCTGCAAGACTGTCGAGGCACTAGACAGTAGCTAGTAGGTGCTTTTGATTGAATTGCCGTATATTAGTGTTGTGGCGTTGAGCTAAGAGTTTTATAGTGACCATATCTTGTCGACTTTTAGACTAGTCGAATCCTGATAAAAGTAATTCCATGTCTTTTTCGCTACGAAATCCTGTGGTGAAGCTGGTAAACATTAGTACTGGCGATAGACTGTGGCAAGCCGGCGTGATGTGGAGCTGTAACTTAAAGCTACCTAAAGGTCAAGTGACATTTACATTGACTGCCATAATGCATCATACTACTGACTGCACCCTATTAGGATCTTTAACTGAACTGTTTATGTTGGGAGTCTATATGTACTGAAGGTGTGCTGAAAAGCTTTATTTGATGCTGTTGTTTAAATCGAAAGCTTTATTGTTGATTGTCGTAGTCTTAAAACAAATGTTTGCTATCAACTTTAGTATGAACTTAACCATTTATTCATATTGTTTTTGGCACTTGTTTTTTCAATGCTTCAAACTTCTTCCTACATATGTACCATATATGATGCTCATGTTTACATGTATGCCTGCAACATATATGTACATAAACATGTATTGTGCATGTTACCAACATGACGATCAACTTCTTGGAGCTAAATTAAGTAAGCATTCCTATCGTGAATTCATCTCAATTGAAATTATCAACACTTTCCATGAGCAATCATAAATCACATACATATGTACGTATATCTAGCAACATTATTTTTAACAATATCGATCTTATCAACACTGTTGCTGAATACAGCTTTTTGTCAGACGGCCATTACCTCGTTATAAATCAAAGCTTTGAATCTCATAAAAAAGGGTTTTTATGACCACTTGTTTATTGTGTTTGCTCAAAGGTAGAACGGTTGATCTTTGCGAAAATGATGGTTGTGTTAAATTTAAAATCAGAATATGAAAACTTTAAATTATAATATATTGTGTAAAGTATTTTATATTTGCTAACTGGCATTTTGTTGGAGGAATAAACAAATAATGAAGGAAAAAAAACACTTAAATGTGTCTCGCCCGCATAAATACGCTCCACAACGGGATTTTATTTTGAGGTTATGATTTCGAACGTAATGTATAGTGCATAATTTTTACAAGACCACATATATTTTTATAAATTCTTTCTGATGAAGTATATACTATTTCTTCAGTATATCAATTGTTTCTTAGCTAAACTAAAACCAAATTGCTGCCATATTTTTACTACATATGCATGTGTAGAAATGGACACTGTCGTTTTTTTAGTTATACCCTCCTGCAACCTTACTTTCCATTACATGAACCTTTTGTTAAATTTTTCTTCCACAATCACTTCTGGGGCTAACAAAGTCTAAATAATTTTGTTTTCTATTTTGTACCTTACTCCCCTAGTATAGTAGCAACAAAAAGGTCTTGCATTTATACAGATCATAAATGCGGATTGAATTTAAAGAATCTGCAATATATGCTGTCATATTTAACGGATCCTGATACTTTTATCTATTGATACAAAACAAAACTATAATAACACTTAGAGCAACATAAATATTTACAGCATTTTAATTAAGCAGAATTCATACATAAAATATATTTTATGAACAGTTATTCGACTCGTATGAGTTTGAAAATCATGACGAATTTAAGTTAATTTTATTTAGAAATCATTTAAAAATATTTCCAAATTTTGTTTCTCGATCGGTTTTAATTTAGCAATACCTTATTACATTAAGAACATTTTTTGTAACGGAATTTTGTATTTATATACGTTTCTTCTATGATTGTCCTGTAAAGTGACGATTTTTGTTTTTACTTAATTGTCCCGGCAAATTTTTGCTTTTCTGGAAACGAAACTACTAGATCATAAACATGTCTCTTGTGGGATATACACAATATATACAAATAATTTTGAAAAATCTTGTTAAAAATTCTAATAATTTAATCAAGTATTTAGTATTTAAATCACACATCGAAAATGTCCTTGTTAGCGCCAGAATAGGTTCGAAATTCTACTATGTATGAAGTTTTTAATTTTTATTACTTATTTATTTGTTGCTTTATTTCTTTTTAATGTATATTTCGTACTATAAGTTTTAGATTTTCAAATTATATTAAGAATATACGTTTTTTTTAAATGAATTAATACAATAAAAATAAAAGGTAATAAATTTATATCAGTTAATTTTGGTACTTGCTCTTTTATGCGCATATAAAACCAAATATTACAAAAAATTCTATAAAAACACTCAATAATTGTGTTGTTACAAACATTTTATTTTAGCTGATTAATTTTTATTTCTGATTCTATAATTTACGTTTAGAATATATCAATAAAGATATATTTTCATAAAATTTGAAAAATTTAACGAGAAATCAAACATGCATGTAAATATAAAGTCTCGTTATACAGTTGATGATTTCTATTTATTTAGTTATTTTTATTTCGTCATGCAAATTCATGAAAATAGAGCAATGTTGGCGAAAACACGATATTTGACCGTTAGGCTTAACATTTCTATAGAATGCATCTTTATAAACATTTTCAATGTTAAAAATAGGTTCCTAAAACATTAAAGCATTGATGTATGAAACGAATAAAAATAAATTTATATTTTTTTCTGAAACATGCTCGATATACATTCCAAAAAATTTTCTTTTGAATCGCCTTTATTTTCAAAATCTTAATCAATTTAAGTATTTAATTGACGATAATTCAGAATGAGCATCATATAGCTTAATTACTTTTCACTTTAAAAGGATTTTATGACTCTAAATAAGGTAAGATATGATAAATAATGAATAGTGGTACTCAAGTCGTATGTACATACATATGAATACATACATGTATGTATTCATTGAACTCACATAGATTTCAGTTTTAGATTTTTTCGGTTACTGTCTTTTAAAATGTAAAACATAACAAATAATAGAAAATAGTCTAATAACAATTTATCTTATATTCAAAACTTGAAAAAAACTATAATTGAAGATTAAAATAAATTGAAACAAACACCAGTACAATAATGGTTAACAAAAAGCAATTTCATATCTAGTCATTGTAATTGTTCCATTCACATATTTTTATACAAATATATTATGAAGTGTTGGAATATACATACATATATTGTGGAACCTATTTAATCAAATTTTTCATTATCTAAGCATGATAATTGTCACATAAGATTTTGTTTTGTATTTTATATATTTATGTACATGAATTTTATTATTTATGTCAATTAAGTTAATTATCCACTTAAATGTGTAGCATTCACAGATATCTCACTTATTAAAAAACAAAGATATTTACTTAAGCATTTTGTATTTTATACATATCTATTTTTTTTTATAAACGAAAGCATTACTAAAACAAAACCAAAAATAACAATAAATTTATATTTTTAATACTATTAACATCAACATGAATTCACTATAATATTTCTAGTAATGCACTTAATAACATCTATTCAATATTTAAACTTTCATAAAATGCTTTATTACATGACCTATATCTTATAATCAATGTCTTAATATTATCAAATAATTTTAAAGATATTATGTCATTATATTAGTTCATTAGGAAAATAAAGCCTTAAAAACAACAAGTACTTGTCTTATACTCGAGTATAATTTTGTTTTTGTTGTATTAGTGTGCTATAATAACGATTAAAAACTTTTATTTTAAATTCTCAAAAGATTTTCTTATTTATATTCATCTAATAACATGGTTGCATATGTTCAATTCTATATACAATAGTTAATAATATATTCGCTTTAATAACTTCTTAATTTAAAACAATCTGAGCTAGTAGAATAATATGACTTTTGAATCAAAAATATATATATTTAAAATTCTATTTTAATCCTTGAATTGAAAATAAATACTTTAAAAGTTTTTATTTTAAATTATTTGTGGGTGTTTGAAGATTGTTATCGGCAGTGGTTGACGATGAATCGGACGATTTTTTCATTTTGTCACAATAATCACTAAATATATCTCGAAAACGTATCCAACATTTTTCGGGTACTGTTATAGCTGTACGGAAATTGCTTTTCACCTATAAAGAAAGTACGTAATTCACAATAGAAAATCAAAAATTAATTTTTTACCTCACTAATGCGCATATAAACTCCACGATTATTTTGTCCAATATCAAAATAAAAATTTTTGTTATCAACTTTCATATGACGCTCTTCTGGTAAGTCTCCTTTAAATCTAAAATAATAACTTTTTCATAAATTTGATTATCATATTAATTTGTTTAATTACCCGCCATCATTGGTTCCAAATTCTTCAAGTAAATCTGTTAATGAGTCACGAAACTCAATCATACCTTGAGCTGGTATTGCTATTTGTGATCGGGGTCCCCCTCTCGTTATTGTTTGGGAAACCTAATATATCAAAAGTTAAATATCAATGAAATAAAATATAAATGTATCATACTCGTAAAAACCGTCCTCGTGCATTTTCTTTTAAGTCCAAATAATACCTTCTGTTATCTTTAATCATCATTTCTGATTTGAGTTTGCCATCTTCAGGAAGATTATCTGGATTAGGTGGACCTGCGATTTAGGTTACTTAATAAGATTATAATAGTTTAGAAGTAGATGCATATTGTATTTGTGAAAACTAAATATTAATTGTAAGTAAGTGATACCGCAAATTTGTTACAGTAGATATTTAACTTGTAAAATGAATATTAATTAAGTAAATATTTTTGGTGAAATTATTTTTTTTATATGAAATAGACTGCTCTTTCAGTGGGTTCAAAATAATCAAAAGATTTAAATAAAAATAGTGATCCATTTGTCACATTTTTTTAAATTACGTTTTTTATACTATGCGTTGGCATAGTATCCGTTACGTTTTGGATTCTGTGATTTGCAATATATATCGTTTTTACCATAATTCGTTTTTCTTTTTTTTAAGATAATTTAGAACACCGCTCAGAAAAGTGTTTTATAGGTGCATATGCCTTGTACGTAGAATAAATTTAATTCTTACCAAATGTTATGAACCCTATTCTAGATAAGGTTTGATATTTGAATTTTATTTTGATTTTTTTTAAAAACAATTTTATTTTTTTGATTTATTTTGATTTTTTTATAATATTGTAAATGAAAGCTATATTGAAGCTTTATGAAAGAACATAGCTATGTTACATAAAACATAGTTTAAAATTTTATTTAAAAACTTTTTGCAGATAAAATCAGTTCCAAAATGAATAATACATTTCAAGGCAAAATGATTGAGTTTTTTTAAATAATAAATATTTAAAATAAGCTGTAACTAAATTAAACAAATACATAATAATTGATTTGCAACATTATTAAGTGTGATGAGTATTAAAACATAATTTCATTTTTAAAACATATTGTGCATCATAATAAAAAATAAATATAAAAATTGTTTCAACCGTAACAGTGCAACCGTTTCGAAATTAAGTGCAGTGCCATATATATAATTTATGGTAAGAATTTTAAACAGTCCCCATACCAAATTTCACACTTTTGCATATAAATTTGCTTTGGTTATCAATTGATATGTATTCGCTAATGTCGAATTCTTCTTAAATTATAGTTTTGATAAATTTATTTTATCAATCACACAAAAAGTTTTCACTAACGATGTTTGACAATACTTTTTTAAAAAGTGCCAAATTCTTTTATATAAAATATGTTTAGACATAAACACATGTTTCGTACAGATCTTAATTAACCGGTTTACTCTTCTTAAAATTCTATTAAATACTTTTTATATAAACTAACCAAAATATTTTATTCTCATCCACAAATATTATTTAAAACTGCGCTTGATAAATATAAAATATTTACACAATTTATACGTAAAGCAAAAATATAACATAACAAATGTGTAATTATTTTTTATAGTTTTTAGACCATACCCAATGATGCATAATAATCACTAAAAGTTGATAAGTGGTCTCGAAATTCAGCGGCCGTTGAAAGAGCCAAATATACTTGACTACGTCTACCGTCTGCACCAATCTTAAAATATATACATTAAAAAGGAACCTATAATATTCGTGATACATACTTCTGCAACTTTAATAAATCGTCCTCGACGGTTTTGTTTAACGTCTAAATAAAAACGTTTTGACTGTATTTGCAACATTTTTGTTGCAAGTTCTTGTTCGACTTGTGCATGAGCTGGAAAATTCCTTGTTATAAACATTCTGAAATAATTTTAATAAATTCACCTTTTCCAGTTGAATCATAATCACTTCTTCCTGTACATTCCATATGTCCTGTATTGTACTCTGTAAAAAAACATATTTTCGTTATAAAACTTAATACCACTTAAGTGCACAGACCAATAGTTTTTACATGATTGTTTTTGTCATATAAGATATTTATTATTTATTATTGAAGCAATGTATTCAATATATAATTTAATATATTATACTATGAGTTTATTTTTTTGTAAAAACTTTTGTGAGTGCAAGTTTGAAATATGTAAATAAAAAACCAAACAGTTTATATTTTATTTTATATCCCTTACTTGAACCTGATACTCCTTCGTCCATACTAGCAAGGTCAGACATGGCTTATAAATTTAATTAATATTAATTTGTGATCGAATTAATGATGGAAGGTTCTTTACACAAAAACAAATTGCGTGCTATGGTTTATATTCAAACTAGCTCAGCAGACAAGTGGAAAAGTCATCAGTCAGATACTGCTGTTGCACCTTAAACAATCTGTAAGAATAAAAGTATAACCTCCAATAAAAAAAACTAGAAGTAAACATAAAAGAAATTTATAGATTTTTTTATGCAGACAACAAACTTTACAACAGTTGCATTTCTTAAAGCTTTTGGTACAAGGTACATATGTTTTCAAGGACTTCGTGTGTATGTCTTTTTCTCTAAACCATAATTTACTAGAAAAGTTTGCTATCAATAGTATATTTTATTGCAAATTTTGTATTTTAAAATACATCTGGATATTTATAACGCATTACAGGTCAGATATATTTTCTTCCCGAATAATGTGGTATTGTGTAAATAATATACCAATTAACGTGAATACTTTTTTATAAAGCAGTAATTATACAGAATGTTTTTAAAAAGTTTTAGGGACACATATTTGTTATTGATGAAATGTCCAAACGCATAACATTAAGTGCCTAATATGTTACGCCGTTGTTTTGCACTTTAAAATGTAGTTAGTACACTTTTTTTATGTGCTCTTCATAATTATACATAATAATTTCTCCACCGTTTACAATTGTGCAATATTAAATTAATATTTGCTTTTCCAACACACTCAACATTTCTAAGCCAATATTTAAAATTTATTAATACTTGGATATTAATCATTATACATTGTTACAAGTAATCAAGCTGACCCCGTCTAACCAAACAAGCGATTTTTTCTATTATAGAGTTGCCAGAAGAAAACTTTCTTATAAATCATTGTGTAAGCAAAGAATATTAGTTAAAATAAAAGTGGCTGGCAATATATACGTAATAATATATGAACTTATACTCCAAATTTCCGTCAAGAATATCCACAATGTACACAGCAAAATAGTTGTAGTGTGTGTAATTTTGGCTCGAATAATATATGATATGATAATTGATTGCATGCGATTTTTGTTAAAGAAAAAAATTTAAAAATGTTTAATTTTCCGACATATAAAAACATTTGGGAATTTTGATTTAACAATATTTTGTATGACATTTGTATTTTTGACGATATTATGTATTTAAAACGAAAAGTAAATAAAATAACGGGTTTTATTTAGAATTAATATCTTAAATAATTAGCAGAAACCTATATTTACAGAGATACACAATCTCCTCTACAAAAAATTATATAAAAATGTATCAAACATTGATAAAAATAATAAATAAGCTTATTAAAAAATAAAAAAATTTCGAAAAGTTTACATTTATTGTGCTTAATCTTTTAATAAGATCTATGTTTTAAAATCAAGTTTTAAATTTTTATCGGGCTTACTGTATGTTTCCACTGGCTTTGTTAGATCAGTTTATTTAGTTAAGGTCATTAATGAATTTTGATTAATCATCAGAGTTCGTATTTGCTCATGGTCATAAGCATGAGAAAATTATTACGTGAACACAAAATTTGCTCATGAGCGTGAGCCCTCAAGCTCATAATGTAGAGCTGCTCATCAGCGTGAGTCTTCAATTTGCTCATATTGAAGAGCTGCTCATGAGATCTCAAGAGCAGAGAGCTCATCTAAAAAGCTAGCTTACTCCCAATAGTTTTTTATTACAAGTTTATTACACTTACCTATATCCCAAAATATATATTTTGATACTGAATATTTATTTCAAGAATACTTTCTATCCTGGTTGCAATGTGGAATTTAAGTGATAACATTTTATTTATAATCTCACCCTAAAAATCTCTTGTATTTTAATGTAAGAATTATGCAGCAATCAAGTTTTATTACATTCATGTTAAACTGTTATCATTTTCAAATTCTCTAAAACACAATATAATAAAATTTAAAATTTTTGAATTAATATAAAACGACTAATTAAATGATGGTGGCACGTGCCAAATTATTCAATGAAATGAAAATGTTACTGCCAGTTCTCTTTTCTTTTCGTTTGTTTTCTATTTCTTTGATAGTTTTTATGACGCTACTCTTCTTTTTGCTCTGTGCGTTTCTTGTGTCATCTGTGTTCTATTTCAGTGCTTTTGTGTATAATGTTGATAGTTACTGTGTGGTTGCCACATTACTCCCTCACCAGTGGCTAAGCGGAAACGCTGTCACGTTGCATACATCTGATTTTATGTTGTGAATCTGAAACACTGCGATTTTGGTTAAATTCCTGCTGAGAAGTTTGTACTGGCAGCGTATCTGGGCTTGATTGAAGTGGTGCAGATCGGTGCAACAGTGCGCTTGGTTCAGTTTCTTTGTTCAACAAGTAAGTCGCCTTTACCCTGTCAATGCTGACATGTACAGGTCGGTCTTTAACGAAAATAATAATAAGTTTACGATCTCGCCATATCACTTTGAATTATCTGTCGTAAGGTGCCTTAAGGTGCCGTAAAGTGTAATGGAGATTGCAAGTTATAGTCTCTCAGGAACACATGTGAACACGTCTGCAGGTCTCGTTGTACGAAAGTTTAAATTTTCGGATGGTTTGAACCTGCATCTGGATGTAATTGGTTTATAGTCTTCTACAGGAATATTGCAAATTCCGAGTCGTGACGGCGTTGGACTTCTTTTCAATGAATTGTCCAGGCAGCTTAAGAGACGTACCGTAAACCATTTCGGCCGGACTAGCTTGGATGTGATTTTTTACGCACATCGTAAAGTCAGCAATAGTAGTGACAATTCGTCTGTCCATCTTTGCTTCAATCTACATTTACGTGTCGCTATAAATGTTCGGTGAAATCGTTCCAGAATTCCGTTTGATTGTGAATGTCTCGCACTTGTACGTACATCTTTTGAACCAATCAACTGCATGAGCTTTGCGAATAGCTTAGACTTGAATTGCTTGCCTTGATCTGTGATAGTATTCGAAGGAACGCCATAGTGTGAAACCCATCTCGTGTTCATCACGCAGCTACTTTGTCTGCATGAATGTCCGTAATGAGAATAGTGATAAGCCACAGGGTAAATCGATTTATGCATGTCAAACAGTAACTGTATTCACCTGATGGTAGTAATGGCCCGATAATATCAACATGTACGGCTGCGAATTGCCGATCAGGGGCCTTACAGGTTTCAAGTACTGTTTTGTTGTGTTTGGATATTTATCTCGTTAGCATTGCGGACATGCTCTGTCCGTCTTTGACATGTCTCTTTTTATGTTTGTTCAGGTAAATTGTTCGCTTGTGAATTTTGCTGTGGCTTTGTTGCCTTGAGGACCCATGAAAATGAATAATATAAAAAATTTATCTACGGTACTTATCTGTTATCAAAGTTTCATTAAGAAATCGCATGCTATGAGATTCGATGAACCCGGTGTGTGTACTCACTTTAGCTGTACTGAAATTTAACCTCGTAAGGATGGAAATTTTTACGTATTTTCAACCGCTCTTTCTCTCTTTTATCTTTATCTCCCAGTGGAGCATAGGGCCTCTACCATATTTTTATATCGGATTCGGTTATTTGATTCGCGGCATATATCACTCCAGGAATAGTTCGCTTCTCTTAATTCTTCTTCAATTGCTCTTCTCCAAGTTTTAGCTGGTGCTCCAGATCTGCGGCTGCCTTGAGGATTCCATCTTATTGTTCGACGTGCAATGTTCAATGTCTTCCTCCACACCGGAGGAACCGGGTCACAACGGGTTTCTATCGTTTCGTTTTGCTGAGGTAGCAAAGCGGTTGTCCAGGTTCGTTGCAATAAAATTTATACTTGCGGGACTGAATTCTGTTCCATAAATAAAAGTGTACTTTTATACAATAATTTCATAGTTACTTTATTTATTTCAATATAAAACAATAGTTACAGGTATTCAAAATATTATTTTGTTAAATGAATTCTCTTATAATTCTGACGCTCTTCGTTGTGGCGTCCGGGTGAATTAAGGTATACAATAGTATACAGTCGAGACTTTGTTGAATCGTTGTACAGGTTTATGTGGTTGACTCTGATGTTGAGAAGGTTCCTGACAGGACCGCGTTCTCTCCTGGGTTCCTTCTCTCCTTACGGATGCTCTGTGTTACGAAAACCTATAGGTTGGCTGAATGAGCCAGATAAAAAAAATAATTAACAAACAAAAGAAAAGAAAATGATTGAATGGACCAGTGTAGGCTGATTAAGCCTGTAAACTAGGATTTGATCGAATTGACCAGTTGCCTGCTTTGATCGAACTGACCAGTGTAGACTGAATTAGCCTGTAAACTAGGATTTGATCGAATTGACCAGTTGAACTTGTTTATCGTTTGATATCCAAGAGACAAGTTGCTAGTTCTGTGAAATTCGCGTTCTTATATACTTGTTTGACCGGAACTTTTGTAGCGTACCGGTAAACTTCGTTGTTCGTGTTAACTTTTGTGCTTTTCGCAAGCCTTTCTTCTGTATTTTGTGTATTTTGCATGCTTTTGTGCATTTTTGTGTACTTTGTGTTGTATGCTTGTTTTTGTTTTCGCCGTGCTTTTACGTTTGACATATTCCGCGTCTTTCTGATTTAAATCAAAAAGTCAAAAATAATATTAAAGTTTTAATTTATATTATTTAATTTTTTAAGAAGTTATGTGCCAAAATACCATACAAATGAGTGACATTGTGGTGATAGAATTTTTAACGCTGTTAAGTACAATAAGTGCAAGTGCATTATTATAATTTATTGTCTTGGATAGTAGTTTGGTTTTGTTTGTTAATAGAAAAATATAATTTTAATTAATACAGTGTTTATTGTGTTCGTGGTTTAATATATAAAAGAAAAATAACCCAAACAAAGAATTTACAGCAGAAGAGGTTTTTCGATGTGTTATATTTTTATGTTTTATTGTTTTTTTCTATTTTATTTTTATGTTGTAACAAAGATGTGAACAATGAGTGTTTTTTTCATTGTTGATAATTTATTTCTTGAAATTTATGTTTATTAATTAAATATATAAAATGTGTTTTATTGTTTAATAAATGTTTAATGTATGTCTTATATTATAATTTATAATTAAAAATTCATTTTTTTTATTCCTTAACATATTTCAAGTTGTGTTTTAGTTTTGTTGTTTTATTATTTTTTATTTTCTTCAGGTTTGTTT